TTCACTTTAGAAAAGGAGTTTACTTTTTCTCATTTCTTTAGGGGACGACCTACTAGTAGTTGATTGGGGGGGGGGGGAGCTGGAATTTTTTTCCGAGTCAGACTATTTATTTTTATGTCGGTGGAGGACAGATTATTTATTTCCAACAATAAGATCAAGAAAAGAATCTTCACTGAAAAAAAGTCTGACAGCAAAAAAAAAAAAAAAAAAAAAAAAAAAAACCAAACAAATAAAAAAATTGAAACACTCCTCAGATCCTCAAATAGATACACTGCCACACTCTTCAGAATCAAATAATCGTCACCTAAGCAGTTTGTATCATATTAAATATTATATTGAGTGGTCTTAGTCTGAGAGATTGTTGGTATGAGTATAGAGCAGCCTGGATGTTCCTGTCACCTGTTGTCTGCCATGATATGTCTCTAATTCGTAAATCTATAATCTGTCCCTGATCATAGTGAACTAGGGTCTGTAGATCATCTAGAGCTGTCCGTATACTCTGATTATGTCTACATATCTGTAGCACATGTTTTCTAGCTAAACAAGACATTTTTTTCCTTTTTTGTGTTTAGTAGAAGTATGTATAGGTTCATTTTACCTATTCTCACTTTTTGAAAATCGGATAGAAAAAGGTAAGATTTTATATGGGAATAGGTGGAATTTTTGTGTAAATAAATAATTAACTATGTAAACATATAATTACTGTACAATGATTAATGAACACCTATTGGAATAGAGGACAGGTATATTTGCTTTATTAAATTATAAATCAGACTTTACTAATATTTGAAAGAAAAAATGGATCTATAATAGAATTAAATTTTATTTTTTCTCCGTTGACATATTCAATCTAAAATCCGTTTGGATTTGGTTTTTTCGTTGTATGTTAAATCATTAACATAAGCATTATTCATGATATAAAAGGCATCATATATAATGAAAAATTATCGTAAAATATGATATATACATGAATCATGCGTTCCTCAAAACTTGCACATGTACATGCGATGGTCAATGAAATACATATTGTAATAGATGTACTAACAAGACTCAAATAACAAGACTCAAATCCTGAGTATCAATCTGTCAAACGTTGCGTTCAAATTATTTTTTAAGTATGCTTAAAAAACAAAAAATCTTGTTCTGAAATAGGTCGAAGGAAAAAGACTAGTAGTAAGTATACAAACATACGTGTATCAGTAAAGAAAAAAGAACTAGTTATGACGTTCAGATTATGCATGCATTGGCGAATCCAGGAATCTTGAAAAGGAGGGCAGCTAAGGTCGTCGAAGGTACCCTCAGTCACACAAAAAATTGATTTATTTATTGAATCTTATATTTTGGTCACAAAAAGGAGAGGGGTCCTAGTCCCCTATAAATCCATGAGTGGCATGATATGCAAATTGAATTTATTGCTGAAATATAAGAAATTTTCTTGCAAAGGAATTTCCCTTTTATCGCAACTTTTCATACCTGAGAGGAAAAACAAACTCTAAATGTTTTACGCCCCCCCTTCCAAAAAATCACACTTTATCTTCACTGAATGTAAAGATGATACAGTAATTTTATTACAGTTAAGATTTACAACTCCATAGCATCTCTCCAAGAATTAAGTTGACAGGAAGCGATTCTATTTTGTATAAAATTTAACAACCAGTTTTACAATCGAAGTGTTTATCCGGGCTTGCCGGAAAGTGTGCTCTAATAGTAATCTTAAGATTTTTTTTTTTACTTTTTATTTTTCTTACCAATTACCATTATTCATTTAGATACCAAATATTGCCCCCCCCCCCTCAACTGTTTACCAAAAAATAACAAAAACAAAAACGAAATGTTCATTGAAACTCCCAACACTTTCTGTCTGTAAATATTAATGTAGTAAGTTGGTGTAAAAAAAATAGTACTGAAAGAAATTGGAGTCGGAATTTATCCTCAGTTGTCTTTTTTTTTCGCTTGTCAAGTTCGACTTTTTTCTCCTCCCCCCCCCCCTTTCAAAAGGGATGCTACGTCACTACTATTTCAGCGGATTTCGTAAGAGACTTAACATGACTAAATCAACTGGTATTTATTAAGGAGTGATTAAATATGTATAAAGTACATCGTTTCTGAGAAAATTTATGCATTTTAAATCATCTAATCGAAAATAATATTTTCCGTTTTCCGTTCCGTTCCGCTTCCCGTTCCGTTTTCCGTTCCGCGTTTTAGCAACACCCTTTTCATATCGAAGTTTTTATATCCTGGTGAGCTTAAGATAAAAGATATCACAGAGTTTGCCATATCTGTTTCATATACACATGTATGGGTATTTTATTTGAGAAAGACCCTTATTGATTATATAAAAACCCAGATCTTTGATAAACGTGATGACATTCTATCGTCAACTTCCCTTAAGCCCGTGTCAAACTGTCACGATTTTTGGCTACGACAGAGTACGAGTTAAAAACTCGCGGTAATTCGGAGTTCATCGTAGAGATAGTCGTAGTGTTCCATGTTCCATGTTCAAAACAATCGTGGCCAGATACGATTTTTAATTATCCGTAAGCGATCGTACAGTAATCGCAATACACTCGTACACATAACCGTTGTAAATCTTCAACATTCGTGGGACACTCGCTAAAATCGTAGAACTTCCGACTCTGAGAGTTTCCTACGATTTATTGCGATTGTCCCACGAGTTTTTGCGAGTGTTTCTCGACTCAAAAGGAATGTCGTACGATTTCATGCGACTATGATACGAACACAGGCGATTGACGGCGAGTGCAATACAAGTACCGTGCGAGTGAACTACGAAATAGTACGATTGTACGAATACGCGTTGACCATAAAAGAAGATATCTGTTGATTTTCCTGTCAAAAATCAAAATGCCGCCAAGACAAAAGGGGAAGAAAACTCAAAAAGAAACTGAAAAGACTTGTAGTCCTAAAATTGAAGAACAGTTACAGAAGAACCACCTCCACAAGAATCAGAGCCGTTACATAAAAAGCGGCGACAGAACCTTAATTTTAGTGAGGAACAAGAGGCATAATTTGTTGAATGGCTTAAGAACCACCCTATATTTTACAATAACGGCTCAAAAGAATATAAAGATACACAGAAAAAGCAGCGCCTTTGGCAGGAGAGGGCTCAAGAAATGGATGTTTCAGGCATGAATTTTATATTAAATGCTGCATTTTGAGAAAATTGTTACTCTTGACACAATTGTTTTGTTAATTTACATAACAATTTTGCATGTTTTCTTTTTAGTGGAAGATTTACAAATCTGGTATAAAAGTATGCGCACAATGTATGGAACATTGTCTCAAACGAAATCAGGTGACGGCCGTAAGGAACTTACTGAGAGAGACAAACGGGTCAAAGAGTCATTTTCTTTCCTATCCGGCCATAAAGTTCGTGTATTCAGTAGACAAGCCGTAAGTGTAAGTATCATATATTACACTACTTATAAATGCAGACAACTATATTTTTTTCCTTCTATTTATTTTTGATAAATTATTTTATTGCTGTAGCTCCGGACAAAATTGGGCCTTGACAGCTCAGATAGACCTGACACACCTCAGACGGTCGATAGTGAAGAGGAAATCGAAAATGAGGAAGACGATCAAGGAAATCAACCGTGTAACTTTTCCACTGTCACTTAAGACCCAAGCTCTACAAACTTTCCAAGCATGAAGGCACGTACTGCAAAAAAGAAAACAAACATCAGAGATTCGGACATGTTAGCTCAGCTTAATGAGAGGGTTACGGAGTCAAAGACACTGCAGAACAGAATTGACGAGCTTGTCAAGTCAGCAGATAATACCCGCACAGCTTGGGCAAATTGGATGGGCACCATGCTTCCTTATATCCATGACGACTTGTGGGAACAATATCTTCGACAGTTTTTCGACAGTCTCCTTTGGAATTATTCAACAGAATACGAAAAGAAAGAGCACAAGCCTCTAATCTGACAAATTTGTCATCATCTCAGCAACAGCAAAGAGCAAGTGTAGAACAGCGACAAAGTTGTGGCGGTTTTCAACCAATCAACTGGGACACAACACAGCCTCGTTATGACCAACAACAACATGTTCAGTCAACTCCAAGATCGTCCTCAAACTCCTTCCACATCAGTTCATTTCTAAACAACCTTCAGTCAGATTTACCTTGTGATGAATCTAACCTTCATGCCGAAAAATCAATAATATATAGCACTCAGAATTGTGAAGGTTCCTTTTCTTGAGGAAAAAATCCAAACCTTTTTTTTTTAATTTGCCCATTCACGGAATGAAACATTTTTAGTCATGATTGGTGTTTTATTTTATTTTTATTATTCTTTTCTTTGCAAAGTACATTGCACTGTAATAATTATCATAAGACATTAAAGTTACTGATCTACAAGTAAATGTACATGTGATTCAGTTGTTCATTTTCAGTATACACATATGTTATTACGAGTTTGTATTTTAAGTTTGTTTTATTTCTGGTTTGTTCAGAGAATGAGTATTAACATTGTCCAATGTTTCACGTTTATTAATACACAATAAATTTAAAACAATGTCCTGATTTATTTAATAATTTACAATGTAGTACATTAACAATCAAACGGTCGTCAGAAGAATCATCAGAACACACTTATAAATCTCTAAATCATAGTCATTATATCATGTCATTCTGCCAGGGAACCGCCCCAACGGGTGAGTTGTAGTAATGCTTCAGGTAGAGCCTCTGGGTCTTTGCTGCTATAGTTGCTCGATTGCATCCACCAACGTTATCCAAATCTGTAAGGTTTGCACAGTCTCTCCAAGCCCCCGGAACCACGTGATGATTTAGATCTTCCTGATCAAGATTTTTCGTCTTGGAGATTTGGAAATCTCATTCGCATCAAATTATGAAGACAGCAACATGCTAATACAATAGATGAAACAGTTTCTGGTTCTTGGCGCATGGGAGCTAAGAGGCATTGCCATCTGTTGGCAAGTATTCCAAATGCGTTTTCTACAACGCGCCTTGCTCTGCTGAGTCAATAATTGAATATACGCTCCTCATTGGTCAAAGTCCTTCTTGCAAATGGTTTCATAAGCCATGTCCTAAGAGGGAAGGCGTCATCACCCACGATGAAATACGGGATGTTTCTGTTATCATTTGGTAGAGGGTCAGCTTCTGGAAATCCAATATTTTGATTTTTGGTGACATCTTTTAATTCTGAGTTGTTAAACACAGTAGCATCTGATGCAGAACCATTTGCACCTACGTCAACCCAAATGAATTTATAATCAGCATCAACAAGCCCCATAAAAATGAGGGAGTGGAACCCTTTGTAGTTATAAAGTGAACCCCCGTTTCGGGGACATTTTATAGCAATATGCTTCCCATCCAAAGCACCAATGACATGGTCCAAGTTCCATCTATTTTTGAACTGCTCAGCTATCTGTTGCCACTCATCTGTAGTTGTAGGACATGCAATTACTTCATTAGCATATTCCGCTATTATACTTTCACAAACTTCTCGAATCAGCAAGGAAATTGTATTATGTGGAACTCGAAATCCGTACATAAGACTTGTGTATGACTCTCCTGTTGCTAAATACCGAAGTGTTATGGCCAACTTTTTGAATACATCCTCCGTTTCAAGTTCTTTCATCAGACGATCAAAATATCCATACTGAGTACGTCTAGTGATCCAGGGTCTTATCCAGTATCTTCTTCTTTGCCTCCGTGGACGTCCGTTGTGTAATAAATGCGCAATTGCCTCGTCATTTTCAGCAATATTCTGTTCAAGTTCCCCCAAATATTGCAGCACTTGATGCCTCCGCACTGTAGCTACTGTCATAATTATACAACTTCGAAACTATGCTAAAGAATTTCAAGCAACCCCTCGATATATATACTCAAACCAAGTATACTCGTAAGAACTCGTATATGCATCGTAAAGACTCGTAGATATTCGCAAGAGCATCGTATAAAATCGCGTTTTATCGTACAAATTCGTATAAAGATCGTATTGCGTTCGTTTTGTGATCGTCTTTGCTCGTACATTACTCGCCAAAACTCGCTCTGTTATCGAATAAGCCTCGTACATTGTTGAGCGGACATCGTAGTCGTATCGTGACACACTGGAAAAAATCACCCTCTGTCAAATAATGCTAGGCTAGCGTGGCGATTTATGGTTTTTTGTAAGTTGTGTGGAATCGTAGCAAAAATCGTGACAGTGTGACGCCTTACTTATGCAGCAATATACCTTCATCACCTGCAAACGGAGTTTATTTATTCAGTTGATTCGATATGCAAGAGCTTGCTCTACGTATGAATAATTTCTAAAACGATTTTAAAACGCAAAATCTAATGTTCTCTACTTCCACCAAAAACGTCCAAATCCTGCTGACACTGTAAGCTTGCGTCTCGGTAATGAACTCATTGAATTTTCCAACTCGTATACAATCATCTTGGATTCTCTGAAGTTCCAGTTTTGACCCTGGCGAAAGAACATCTAATGCTAGCGCAAAAGGACGGCAAGCATATTTTGCATTAAAAAAAATCGAACAGCTCAGACCAATAACAGAGCCAAAATGTATTTAAAAAAAGTTATCTTACCATCAGTTCTTTACAGCAGCGAATTATGGTGCAATCTTCGGACAAAAGACATAGGAACACACAACGCATTCCAACATTTCGTCGTTAAGAATTTTATTGGAATGCCCCATCATACAAGATCAGACATGTGCGAAAGCCTTTTAAATCTCCCTCCAATCACAGCAGAGAAGTCAACATAACTTACCTTACCAAGCGAGTATTTATCATTCGACTGTTCTCCTGCCTTTTTATCACCAGTACTATAAATATTATGGGTTTATTCAGGACATAATTCCTACACTCTTGAAATACAATTTAAACCGTGTGTTAACTGATTATCTCGAAAGTGGATTCTTCCCCAATATGTCTCAGTGGAAAATACATTATTGAAATCCTCTGTCACCTCGTTTCTCTAGATGTCTTTTCGCTCAACCGAATGCTTGCCGACCCTGACTGGATTAAGCATTCCCTGCGCAAGCAAACCATCTAAGCATCTGTGGACCATCCCAAAAAATATTCATGAAATTGTTCTGTGTAAATTCATTGTTAAGCTATGGACCCCTTTAGATACACTACCGGAAACATGCTGCCTCTGCGCAAAATCTTTCACGATCGTGTTTGAGCACATGACTACTGTCTGCCCTGAAACATCTCTGTATCGCGACGCCTGGTGGTAAACTGTGATTGAGGACTACGACATCTAACTAGGCGCCGAACTTTCAGGGCTCTCAGGAAATGAATGATATTTATTTCTGCTCAGTGCCAACACCCTTACTCTTGAACGTTGACACACCAGGGGCCCGTTTTACAAAAGAACTTACGACTAAGACCAAAAACTTCAGATTATTGTAAAATTATGCAAAATTAATAATTTTCCCTGAAATTGTTTGTGTAAAAATATCTTAACACATTCCTTTGAAAAATTTAAAAATAATTTTCTATATAATGTTAATTAAAAAGTTATATGAAGAATTAAATCTAGTCTTATGTCGTAAGTCCTTTTGTAAAACGGGCCACGGAACTCCATATCTTCAACTTCATTATGAAAGAGATGTGGCAGCGGTCTATCACAGAATGACAACGGCGTTCTCTTGAATGGACTAGATATTTCTAATCCCTGTACATTAACTTTGTGGCAAACGTACATGTTAATTTCTCCGAGCTTAAGCTCATTTTCAAATTTACTTTTGTACTCATAAAAATAATAAGCCCTTATGTAAAGTTATCTTTTGTCTTTCCAATATTTATTCTTATATGTTCATGAATCTATAATAGGAGGAAATAAATAAATAAAGAAAGAATGAATGAAGAGCTTGCTATACGTATGAATAATTTCTAAAACAAGGTAAATTATTGAAAAACAAATTGATGAAACAAGAATATCAGCAGTCTCGTTTAAAGCCATCATTTCGTAAGTCGTATCGTTCACGGTATCTCAGTCGGTAGAGCGCCCGCTCCGTGATCGGGAGGTCGTGAGTTCGTATCTCGACCGCGTCTAAATAAGTCGATAAAAAATGGGTAGCAATTAGCTGTTCCTTCGCCATGCGCTCGGCACTTTGAAGTGAAAGTTGCGGGTCCTTCGGATGAGACCTTAAAAACCGAGGCCCCATGTCAGCGGCAGAAGTTGGCACGATAAAGATCCCTCACTCCTCAATGGCCCTCGGTGCCGAGTAAAGGTCAACATTTATGCTCTTCACCAGCATATGGTGACGTCTCCATATGAATGAACATTTTTCGAGGGGGACGTTAAACAATATACAATCAATCAATCAATCATAAGTTGTACGGTCGTTACAATGACCTTGCCACCAAATGCAATTTATCATTGAGTCAAATGCTGACTGACGTTTTTCATACAAATTGTTTGTCCATTATTTATACAATGAATCGACGACGGATTTTTCCGTTATTTCCCGATCATGACAAGGAGCACACGGCGGGTGTGACCAGTCGACAGGGGATTCTCACTTCTCCATGGCACCTGATCCCATATGATATTTTGGAGGTCCATGTTTCACCGCTCCTATTTTGTATTGTTCATGACTTTTGATCTTGATTACTGTTCGTTATCTCAATATATTTCATTTGAAAAAAGTATTAGATTCTGTAAACAAATATTGTTAATTTGAATGATGCAGAAATAGAATAATTGGTAATCATGTTATCCCATCTCCTCATGGTATTGGGGTTCTTTCCTAAACTTATATTGCATGCTCCTAAAAAATTAACACTCAGCTGAATGCTTTTGAGTACCTTAATAGAAAATAATCTTTTTACATGTATTGCTTCGGAAATTGGAAAACAAATTGACATGTATCTTGTAAAGTAGAAATCAGCTGTTTCAATACTGTACTCACAGAATAACACAAATAGATCAAAATGGCACTACTTAAAATCAGCTTTGTGAGGAAATTCAGAACCAGCCGTGTAACAGATAATTGCTTTTATTATTTTATGAAATAATAATTATAACTGTATATCATTATATTTTCCCAAGCATTATTTTTACGAGATACCTTTTTATAAGCGAGACAAAATTATTTCTAGCTATAGTTTTTGTTGTTTATAAATATTATTATTATTATATACATGAGAATGACAGCCTACCCTAATTAATGAAAAGCGATTTACAGTTACCTGAATCATTTCCATAAATGCAATGTACATGCATTTGAAAAAAATAATCCAGTCTTAAGGAAATTTGTTGTCAGTAGGTCTTTAGAGATACATATTTCTCTCAGGTAGCCAGTTAAAGATGAAAAAGTAAAGAATATGATATATTAAACAAGAAATTAAAAATGAAAAAAAAAATTGCTCAGAACACAAATTTGGATAAAGACTTACTTTAAGATTGAAATACATTACTTATAAGGACCATTTTTATCTTGAGGCCAAAATTTATTTATCTGCATTGTAGATGAATGTTGAATCTCCATTCACTTTCACCATGATAAGATTTTTTTACTTAAGGTCAGACGATACGTTCCTCAGAAATCTGTTTTGTGTATTTTCGTGATATATGAAAGATATTTAAAATTATATTTACCTTGTAATTTCTATAAACTTGTTTTTAATTGTCTTAAAAAATTTAACGCTTAACTTTTATATTTCGGCAATTTTTATTGTTTTTTTCCCAAAGAGATTAATAGGCAACACCATCCACTGGTATACTGCACAAATTCCTGGTAATGTACCTCAATTTTTTGTGAGTTAACTTGTTAAAACAGCATTACTTCAAAGACAAATTCTTGGGGAAAATTTTTTTTATAATAGGAACGTATCATCTGTCCTTAAAATTAATTTGTCATTTGTCTTTCTGTATCATTTGTTTACATGGAAGACTTGTTATCTTTTGAAAATATTTGAAAAGTTTATAAGGAGATAATCAGCTCGATCTAAGGATGAAATATTGTACACTGTACATTTAATTTAAATACGTGTCTTTTTTTAACTCTTTAAATAGGGTGCTTGAATGTCTAAAATATAATTATTTATTTCCAAAGTGTCATCTTGAAAATTAAAACGAATTAAAAAAAATATGTAAATTGATATTCTTTCTGTTCTGAATGCTTTTTATTACAAACATTAGACATGTATATAATAATGGTAAATAGAGACTTCAAATTTAAGATTATTACAAAACTTCTTGAAAAATAAACTTATAATTTGTAAAACACTTTGGCTTTTTTTTTTACAAACACAGTTTACAACTTTCACAAAGAAAAATTATTATGATATAAATGGAAACAAATTTAGAATCACTGATTTTCATTAGTATTTAAAGTTAATTTTACGTGTAACAGAAGAGAGATGGATGTTATACAAAGATCTGCAATTATTGTTACTCTACGCTGCATCTAAGAATCGGTTGCTTCTGTCACGTTTTTCTTGCGACGCATCAGCATGTGATACATAATAACTAAAAGACACTAAAGAGCTTATAGATTGCCGTTATAATTCTGATTATTGTGGCAGTCTTTATTTTCTGAAATGACATCTGGTAGAGTGAATATTGATACGAGTATAGCGCAGCCTGGAGGTTCCCTGTCACCTGTTGACAGATCCCCAGAATCTGCCACGATATGTCTCTGTAATCTAAAGGTATACGCTGTCCATGACCAGATTTAACTAGGGACTGTAAATCATTTAGAACTGATTGTACTCTCATTGTGTCTACATGTCTGTAGCACAAGATCTCTAGCATGTATACCAATACAAATGGTGGGACATATAATGCAGACCAGTCATTCTGTTGGGCAG